TCGGAACAGGAAAAAGGAGACCAAATCGATCTCCTTGGTCTTGATGTTATCTCCTTTAGACTTTAGATCCTATTCTAAGCGCATTTTACTGTTCTCAACTCTACTTCTTAGATTTTTTCTTGAAGAAGAGAATTTTGAAAGGTGTAGCTTTTCTTAATGGAGAAAGAAATGAACATTCTGTTAAATGAATGATGGCGAGATGAAAAGTATGACGAGGATTAGTGTGGGGATCAAAACAGAGCCAGCGAACACTACTCGAACAAGCCATTCGTCTTCCGCAAGGATTTACCGACACCGTGAAGCAATGATACATAGCGAGGGTGCAAAAGCACTAAAGTAGGAGCACAAACCTCATGCTGCTTTCCTGAGGATGGCCTCGACTGATGAGCTGGGTGAGATTGAAAGTGTGGCAGAAGGAGTGAGCTGCCAGAGCACCAGATGATCCCGTACGGTTGAAGCCAGCAAGAAACAGCGAAGAAAAACAGCCACGGATGTAGCCTTTTGCTCCGGTGCCTAAAAGAAATGAGCTCTATGATGAAAACTTTGAAGGACTGAATGGGTAAGGAATAAGATTTATTGAGGTATATACAAGAATACCGCTTTAGGATAGAACAAAGTGAATTTCTAATAATTTCTTAGTTTTAAGTTGTGATGTTGGAGAAATTTGAACTTGAAGGGGTTGATTAAAAGTTTCTAAAGTGATTGTGATATTGACGGCACTATGTCTAGGTTTTTCTAGCTGTCATTTTTTAAGATAGTTTCCATTCTCAAACTATGAGGAATCTTGCGTATAAACCTGTGAGTCGTTGTTCATTATTTATAATAGTAAAAATTATAGCTAGAAATAAACAAACAAGGAAATAAACTTCTAGACTAATAGTTTAACTCACACATAAAATGTTGTAATCTAAATCAGAAATCTATATCTCTTAGCTTAAAGATAAAACTGAGTCAAGCATGATTTTTACAAATTTCTTGATAACACAGAAACGGCATCAAAAAAAAATTTGCCAACTTATCTAATTAGAAATTGCCGCTTGCTAATTCTCTAGTTGGATTAAGTTCTCAAAAAAATGTTTCTCGTAGTCAATGTCTGCATCGAAGCTGGCAGTTCTTCGATCCTCCGCTAAGGGAAACTAATCAAATCATTCTTATACTAGGGTCAAGTGGCATCAGAAAGGCAGCTTGAAACCTCGCGTCAATCGATCTGAATAGCGCTAGACATGGTCTTACTTATCAGCAAAGATCTGGTATAAATTCAACAAACACTAGCAATTTGTGTCAGGGAGATTCAATTTTCGCAAAATAACAATGTTGTTCTTCGGTAAGAGCATCTTTCAACAAATTATCAGGATATGATAATAGAAAAATATCCCACAAATACACTATAGTTTTTAGCTTATTATGAGATATATTTAGAAGGGTCTCTTTTGACTCGAAACACCCTTTACTTTCTAATATTTTAGTGCACATCGTTGCTTGAGATTTACTCCAGCATTAACAATATGTGGCAAGTATCTCTGATTCTGTGCTCCAGACGACTACTTGAGATTCACAAAAAGGTTTACCAAGTTGTAGCGAAGCTCCTCAAGTCTCTATTTTGGTTGTTTTAGTACCAGCAGGTGTAGCCCCTTTCTTCTCATATTTTCCGTTTATTTGATACAAAGTTTGTTTAGCTCAGTTCAAATATCATTCTGGCTACTTTTTCTTTTTGAATGAAAATGTCTTGCACCAGAGACGAGAAAAGCAGTGTTGTACAGAGATCTAACATCATTGCTAAGATATTAGAGAATGAGATTAGAATTTCTTAAAAATGTGCTTGTATTTTAGACAAATGGATGCCAAAAGATGTGTGGTGATGTGGACAGTGTATTATTATAGTCTTTAAAAAAACAAAAGAACAGCAGTCTTAACTTTTGTCATATTGAAAGAGGGCGGTAAAATTTATACTCTGATTAGTTACATTACCCAAACTTCCTCTCGTAATGACTTTATTAAGAGTCGAAAGCAAAATGTGCAAGAAGTGGAGTTGTTATGGATATGCAAAAATAGGCAAATACCATCATTCAGCCAGCGCTATCCATTTATAATTGCTTCAGAGCAAGTACTTCAGTGGAAAATAAATCGACAAACAATAATTAAACGTTTACTTGAATTTTGTACAGTGGAGTGGAAAAAGGAATATTACATTTGTCTCTTACAGACATATTATATCCGACATCTGGCCGGATATAAAATCTCTCAAATGAAGTGTTATCATAGCTAGTACTCTAAAGCTCCATACCCTACAAGGCGCACTCCCTTAGTTGCTAGAATTTCACGAGTCTGAGGTTCAGTGCCACAGTAGAATTCAAGAGGCTGCACTCAGCGAAGAGGACAGGAAATCAAGTTGTACTGGATCGGGCCAATTGGCGGTTTCATCCCGTCACACGATGTCTGAGGCATCGCACGTCAAAAATGAGGCACGGGAGGTTTGGAAGGAAGGACAGTTGGCAGCTATAGAGTACCGACTACAATACTAATTATTTAACTGAAAACTACGGTGATTAAATAGATAGGGAGGATATGCAACAATCAAATTTCTTTTTTTCTAAGAATTTTTGCCCTTTAAAGATGAGTTCCGCGAGTTCAGTTCAAGCTTGATTAAAGTATTTGCAAAAGTTGAGATAAAATGTGGTATAGTCTCTCAAAAAGATCAACATCCACCACACAATAATTTTTAAAAAATTGTCAATCAAAGCTGTTTTGTTCTTATAGATAG